TATTCAGTTCATGTTTTTTAAATGCATCACTTTGACTTTTGTATAATTTACTATACATTTTCATATAATAATTTTGTTACAAGTTTGACTTTTCAAAATTAGTTATATATACTATTCCCTCCGTTTTAAAATACTTGCTCCACTTTCCTTTCACTACTAGAAAACAGTCAAATAGCGACGGACACATTATTCCGTCGGAAAAGCACATATATTCTGACGGATTTTCATTCCGTCGGATATTTCCGACGAATTTAACAATTCCGTTGAAAATCCGTTGGAAATTTCCGACGAATTTAAAATCCGTCGGAATATAGGTGCTTTAGGACAGAAAATTCCGTCGGAAAATGTCATTTCCGACGGATTTATAGTCCGTCGGAATTTCCCGTCGAATATATATATATATATATTTTGAATCACACACTCCGACAAAGCCCTACACAATGTTCCGCCTCCTCTCCCTCATTCTGTCTTTCCCCTTCTCTCTCCTTGCGTTCTCCTTCTTCTCCTCCCTCTTCTCTCTCCTCTTCTCTCTCCTCTTCTCCCTTTTCTTGCTGCCTTTCCTCTTCCATCTCTCTCCTTGCGTTCTCCCCCCTCTTCTCCCTTCTTCTCTTTCTGTCCTCTACTTTCCCCTATCTCTCACCAACACCGGCAACACTAACCACCACAAACACCGACATCAACACCAACACCATCATCGGCATCAACAACAATTTTCGTCTGTTTTCGCCCTTTCTCACTCTTTTCACGTTAAAAACAAAGGTTTTTAGGTCAAATTCGACCATAAAAACTCTAGATCTAGAGTTTTCATGGTCGAATTTGACCTAAAAAATCCAATTTCGAGGTTATGTGAGGTCGTATTAAGGTATGTATCCTTTTTTTTTTTTTTCAATTTCGATTTTATTTTGTTGTTTTATTGGATTTTTTTTTTTACAATTTATGGTGGTGGAAGGGTTTTGTTGGTAATGGTTAAGGATTTTAATTGTTTCTTTAATTTTATTGATAATTTTTGGTGGTGACGGTGGTTATTGGTGGCCACAGTGGTGATTTTAGGTGGTTGGTGGGAGTGTTTTGCTTAGGTTGGGGGGTTCGGGCGAATCGGGCTTGGGTTAGGGTTGTAGATCTAGGTTTGGTTTGGGTGGGTTTGGTTTAGGTGGTCTGGTGTTGTGCGATGGTGGTTGGTGGTGGGGGTAGTGGGTGGTGGTGCGGGTTAGGTGGGCTGGTGCTGTGCGGTGGTGGCTAGTGGTAGGGGTAGTGGGTGGTGGTACGGGTTAGGTTGGCTTGTGTGGGGTTGGTGATGTGCGGTGGTGGCTGGTGGTGGGGGTGGCTTTTTTTTTGTTTTTTTAAGCATTTTTCCGACGGATTTTCCATCGGAGGTTTCCGGCGGAATACAGTCCGTCGGAAATTTCCGACAGACTATCCCAGGCCCGAAAATCCCTTTAGACGGACTGATTTCCGTCGGAAAATCCGTCGGAAAAGTGGTTTCGACGGAATTTTCGTCGGAAAAGTGCGTTTTTTCCGACAAAATGTATTGCGACAACCAGTTCCGACGGAATTTCCGTCGGAAACTGGTTTCCGACGGAATTTCCGTCGGAAACTGGTTTTTCCGACGGAAAATTTCCGTCGTTATTTCAATGTTTTCTAGTAGTGTTTTTCGGCCGTTTTTAAATACTTGCTCTTACAATGTTAAATTAATTTCTCTCACCTAGTGGACCCATGATAACACGATATTATACACGATTTATATGTGATATTTGGTCATGTTTTATTGTGTTTTCTTCATTCTCCTAATCTTTTTGAGCTATTATTCTTTCTATTTCGATACTACTCTTCTCGGTTTGTTTGTTTTTGTTTTTATAGGAATATGGCTCGATTTGCATGGAATTCATTTTGGTCGCGAGATATTTCTTTATATGGAGCGTTTCTAGCACCAATGGAGCATTTTGGCAGCCTACTCCACAGCTTGGTTGTGGCGTGCAACCTTATGGCCACAACCTGGTTGTGGGCGTCCATTATTGGAGCAAAGGAGAGGCGAAGACAACCCGCTTCACAGCCTGGTTGTGGTGGTTTTCTTCGTGCCACAACCTACCTGTGGCAGCTCGTTTCGATGGCGTTTGAGAGTCCTATTTAGATAAAAATATCTAATTTTATGCTAGGATATAAATAGGTTTTAGATAATATTTTATTTATCACTTTTTCAGATATTATTTTTAGACTTCTTTTTGGGGTATTACGTTCTTCCATATTATTTTCTAGGGTTTTGCTTTCAAGATTCAAGATTTCATAATTAATTCCAAGTATTGATTTCTTCTCTCAATTCTCTTATTTTATTATTGTTAATTATGTTTTCTTTATTGATTATAGTTCTTGATTTCATTAATATGTGTGAGTAGTTTCCCTATTCCAAGATCTAGCGGAACCCGAATATGATTAATGCTTGATTTAATTCTTTAAATTCTCTAATGATAATTGCAATTGATATGCTTAATTGATTGTGCTCATGCCAATACTATATTAGTGATAATTGGTATTGTTATTAATCCATTGTTTTAATCGCAACGGGAGTTGGGTTTTGACGGGTTTGAATAAATCAATTAAGGGTTTGAAGTTCATCACGGGAATAGTTGAATGGATGATTAGGAAGTTAGAGTAATGTGCTCAAAGTCTTTAATTTACATGATTCCACGGAAGTAGGCTTGATTGTGATTAGGGAAGCCATTGATAACTCGGGAGAGACCTTTGGTAATATTCAGGGATTACTTTTCCTCTTTAATCAATTGAATTATATGTTAGGGGTAGAACTATTATTGCATTAATTGTATTCGTGGTAATGCTTGATTTTGGATGTTTTTATTATTTGATTATCATTTTTTTAGTTTAATCGTCGCTCTTGATATTTAGTTATTAATTCTCGATTATTTGATTTGGTTACTTGCTTAGTATTTACTTGAGTCTATTTAATTAGTTGAACCATAGTCTCTCGGGATCCGACCCTTGCTTGCCCGTCTACATAGTAGTGGTCTAGTTAGGTTTATTTTTGTTAGGTACGCGACACGCCTATCAACCCATCATGATCATATTTTATTATTTTTATATTCTCACTCCTCCAATTCTCTCCACTACTTTTGCTTTTTACAAATTTTTATTCTTCCACGTACCCCACTACCTTCATATTACTATATATCTAATTTCTCCTAAAACTCCGTGCTCGGAGAAATGGAACACGTATTTAAAAACGGAGGGAGTAAAAGTCAAAGTTGCATCTCACCAAGTGTGTGGATCTAAAAAAAGCATTAAAAAAAAAAGAGGGTGTTATGAAATATTGTGTGAATATCCATTATCCCCCTTTATCATTTCAAAATGTTCTAAAACTAGGGTTTATTGTTATCTAAGCAAACCCTAGTTATATATATATATATATATATATATATATATATATATATATATATATATATATATATATATATATATATTATATATATATATATATATATATATATATATATATATATATATATATATATATATATATATATATATATATATATATATATATAGAGGAAGGCTCATGTAAGAATCCTCCTCTATATAAGAACTCAATCTTATATAAGAACCAATCTCAACCATTTATTAGTTTTGATCCAACCATCTAAAACCATCCTTTAGTAATGGCATTTCTGTAATTCTTTTTTTATGTTTTAAATTTTTTTGCCTACTCTTATGTTCTAAATCTAGTCTACCTATTTTCTAATTTTTTTTTCTATGTTCCAAATTTAGTCTACTTATATACTAAAGTTTTTTTTTTTTTTTTTTTTTTTTTTTTTTTTTTTTTTTTTTTTTTTTTTCTTCCTATGTTCTAAATTTTTCCAACCTATGTTCTAAAGTTTTTTTTCTTCTTCTTATGTTCTAAATATTCTTTTACCTATGTTCTAAATTCTTTTGCCTATGATCTAAATTCAGTCTACTTATGTTCTAAAGTTTTTTTTTCCTAAGTTCTAAATTTTTACTACCTATGTTCTAAAGTTTCTTTTTTTTTTTCTTTTTTTTTGTTTACGTTCTAAATATTCTTTTACCTATATTCTAAATATTCTTTTATCTATGTTCAAATTTTTTTTTTCTATGTTCTAAATTTAGTCTACTTATGTTCTAAAGTTTTTTTTTTCCTGTGTTCTAAATTTTTTCAACCTATGTTCTAATTTTTTCCTATATTCTAAATTTTTTCTACCTATGTTCTAACGGTTTTTATTTCCTATGTTTAAAATATTCTTTCCTATATTCTAAATTTTTTTTTGGCGAATTAACTTTTTGATTGCATTTTTGGGAGGGTTTGCGGAGGCCGAGGCAAATTTTCCTAAGCATGTTTAATGAAAGATAAGGGTATAAAATTAAGTATTAATCAAGGAATAAAAAAAAAAAAACAAATTCAACCCGATTAATCAACCACTACCAACCCAGCCACGACCACCAAACCACCAAACCACCAACCCCAGAAACCCAACGACCCCCAACCCACCAATTCCACCAGCCACGACCACCAGAAACCCACCAACCCCAGAAACCCAACTACCCCCAACCCACCGATTCCACCGGCCACGACCACCAGAAACCCACTAACCCCAGAAACCCAACGACCCCCAAACCCACCGACACCGAAACCACCAACCCAACACATCAGAACCACCAAAACCAAAACACCAACCCCGAAACCCACCGATTTGAAACCCATCAGTTTTGTAATTAGGGTGTTTAAAAAAAAAAGTAAGGGTAAAATGGTAATTTTATCACTAAAAAGTTACTAAAAAAGGAAAGAAATGGGAAAGTTGCAAGTAATGTGGACCAGCCCAAAAAGGAAATAGTTGCAACTAAAGTAGACCGGAGGTAGTATAATGTATTTATATATATATATCAAAAAAAACTTGGTGAGAGCGACAACTAATTGAAGCTTAGAGTAGAAATATCTTTGTGTCGTTTTTGGAGGAGTTGGTGTCTTTAGTGTGACCTCATTCCTTTCCTCTTCCTTCTTCATTGTACGAAAGAAAAACTTAAGCTTATTCCAAATCAGAAATACTTTAGAACATTATAAAAATAATGTTTCAAATCAGGTTAATGTTTCAAATGATATTAATATTCCAAATGATACCCATGTTCAAAATAGTCATCTCCATATTTGTACAAAAAATGTACTATATATTGTTTTAAATATATGTCTAAAGATATAAACTTAAGATTTACACAATCATATATCAATTTTTGTTCAGCTTTGACCACTTTCTAGCCATCTTCATCACTCTTTTCCGTTCTTCATTTACTTCTGATGTTATAATCTTCCCACAATACTCCACTCATAACCTTTTCATTTGCTCAAACTGCAAACAAAAAAAATACAAACACGTTAAAATTAAAATACACATGTAATTCAGAATATAATAAAAAATACTTTAGAACATTCCCATGTAATTTAGAACATAATCAGATTAACTTTAGAACATAGACATCTAACTTACAACATAATCAGAATTACTTTAGAACATAATCAAGTAATTTAGAACATAATCAGATTAACTTTAGAACATAGACATTAAACTTAGAACATAATCATAATTACTTTAGAACATAATCAGATTTATTTTAGAACATAATCTATCTAACTTAGAACATAATCAGAATTACTTTAGAACATTATCAAGTAATTTAGAACATAATCAGATTAACTTTAGAACATAGACATTAAACTTAGAACATAATCATAATTACTTTAGAACATAATCAGATTAACTTTAGAACATAGACATCTAACTTATAACATAATCAGAATTGCTTTAGAACATAATCAAGTAATTTAGAACATAATCAGATTAACTTTAGAACATAGACATTAAACTTAGAACATAATCATAATTACTTTAGAACATAATCAGATTAACTTTAGACCATAAACATCTAACTCATAACATAATCAGAATTACTTTAGAACATAATCAAGTAATTTAGAACATAATCAGATTAACTTTAGAACATAGACATTAAACTTAGAACATAATCATAATTACTTTAGAACATAATCAGATTTACTTTAGAACATAGACATTTAACTTAGAACATAATCAGAATTACTTTAGAACATAATCAGAATATGGAGATGTAATTAGAACCTAATCAATCATATGTCTTGACACGTACATTACCCTTCTCTAGCCCCGAATTTCATTGTTTTTGACATTGTCCTTCATAGGTTTCCATGTGCTTCAACAAAAATACTCCACAATCATGTTTGTTTGCATTGCTCTTCCATTTCATCTCAATGTTTCTTGTTTCGAAAGTGGACAAAACGACACTCTTGTTATCAATTTCTTCATAAAATTCACCAAATGCCTTCAACTACAAAATATATATAAATTAACCTTGAAGAAGATAGGAGGGGCAGTAGGCAGAGTAGAAGAGGCTGTAGTAATAGCCATAGCAGCAACAGATCTATTGTTCGAATACACATACTAAAAAAAAAATTCAAAAATTGACATTAATTTGCAAAAATCGAACTAATTCGAACAAAAAAAAAAAATTGACAGATCAAATTTTTCGAACATAAATATTTCACAAAAATCAAACAAAAATAATTCACAAAAGTCGAACAAAATAATGAACAAAAATCGAACGAAATAATGAACAAAAATTGATCGAAATAATGAACAAAAATCGAACAAAAATCATTCGCAAAAATCAAACAAAATAATTCGCAAAAATCGAACAAAATAATTCGCAAAGATTCGAACCCTAAATTTGCTAAACTCGAACTCAAAATAATCAAACTCCATACGAAAAATCCAACTCAAAAATCGCACAAAATAATACGCAAAAATCGACTCCTAAAAATCGCAAAAATAGAACCCTAAATCCGAACCCTAAAAATTGCAAAAATCACCAATTAAAACTGCAAATTCACTTGAACATCATGCTAATTTCATGAAAATTTGAACAAAATTGAAAAGAAAAACATACCTGAAGCGAAAATCCTTCAAATTGCAACTTCTATCAGATTTTTGGGGGTTTTAGGAGAGAGAAAATGAGAGAATCGGGAAGAAGGGAAAGAAAGTTAGAGGAGAGAGAAAAGGTTGGGAGGTGGGTAAGGGGGTTGAAAAAGTTGGACACGTGTTTTAATCTTAACCGTCTAAAACAACTTGATCCTACGGTTGAGATGGATTCTTATATATCTAGGGTTCTTATATATCTAGGGGTTCTTACCGGATCCCTCCCCTATATATATATATATATATATCCCACCTGATTAGGGGATTTTTATCCACCAATCACCGTCTGACAAGTGGACCAACCAGGTTCCGCCACGTGTTCTTCACGAAGGCCAACAGGAACCTGCCACGTGTCAATCACAGATACGTCCTCCACGGACCACTAAAGACACGCCACGTGTCCGCCCATACCAAATGGGAAAACCGGCCATCAAGGCCCAATTCAGTCTAGAGGCCCGGTCAGCCCTAGGTTTACCTTAAACCTAGAGAGTTGCACGCTTCCCAAGGCTATAAATACTCGATTAATCCTCATTAATCAGGGGACCGAATAATTAAGAGATCAAGTAGAGAAGAACAGAGTTATTAACAGCCGGCTAATCTCGCTAACCACGCAGATTACCAACACTAAGCACTCTCACCTAGAGAGATCTCATTACTTTAATTTCTGTATTGATTACTCCTTAATCGGGTACTAACTTGACCGTTGGAGGCGGAGCTCTCAGGAGTCTCCGTTATTTTGCAGGTACAGGCGTCCGGTTCCAGTCTCGGAATTGTAACTCTCCCGCAGGACATCAGAAAACCCCGAAACATTTGGCGCCGTCTGTGGGGAGAGTACTTCAGAGATGGCATCCAAGTCTGTACCGACTCCAGAAGAGAGGCGTCCCCTAGACGACCCTCAAGTTCAGTCGGACCATGATACCGAAAGTGAATTTGAAGTTGAAACTCATACAGCTCCAGACGGGACCCTAAGGGCCCGACGTACCCGTCAAACCGAAATGAGGGAACGGGAGTATCTTCAAACAGGAAGCGAGCCGGCAGGCGCACCGCTTGCTCGGCAACAGCCGACTGATGGGTCTGCTCCCATCACAAGGAACGAACTCATGACCTTCATGAGGGACTTCAAGGGAGAGATCCAAGAGTTGATCAACAAAAAACCGCCTGCTTCAGTCAAAGAGCAGTCGGCCAAGAAGCCTTTCACTTCACTGAAGAGGAAGCCAGTTCAAGGGCGAGAGGCGACTCCCCATCCTAGATCCAAGAAGCGGGAGCCGTCTGCTCTTGATTTCACAAAACTCCGTTATCCTACGGGAAATAGGAAACCGGTTCGTCATATTCAGGCGGACGGGTCAAAGCAAACGTTCACAGATGCTCGGCACCTGCTAGAGCAGAAGAAGAGTGACCGATTATCAGAGTCGGCTTCTACTTCAAATTTTCAGGACAGTTTGCGAAATGCCTCGATGAGGCCAACTCAGTCGTACCATGAGAGTCAGTCAGGCGGCACCTCCCGTCAGTCCGGCTTTCATAGTGCCCAGGCGGTACCAAACATACCATTTGTGCCGCAACAACAGTATTTTATGCAGCCACCTCCATTTGGTGGACCTGCAGCAAAAAACGTCCAACCTATGGACTGGCAGCTACGGCTGCTTAGACTTGGTGAACAGCCGTCGGCCTTCTCCAAGGAAATTACTGAAGCCGCTCAGCCGGCCAAAGTAAAAAATGTTCTAGTAGGCGCCTATGACGGCACTACTAACCCAGAAGACCATCTGATGGCATTCACCAACCTGATGTACCTTCAAGGGTTGGATGATCCCACTTGGTGCAAGTGTTTCCCAGCGACTCTCAAGGGAATTGCACAGCAATGGTTCGGCAACCTGCCGACTGGTTGTGTAAACAGCTTCAGGACGCTTGCTTACTTATTTGCCTCCAACTTCGCAATGAACATCCCTGCGAAGAAAACGACCCTTGATTTGGGAACAATTCAGCAGGGTGAGAAAGAGGGGCTTCGTTCCTACATCAGGCGGTTCAACCTGATGAGAATACAGATTCAGGGGTTACCGGATGAGGTAGCTTATACTGACTTTTTTAGAGGTCTCAAAGACGGGTCTACCTTCAAATTTGATTTAGTTCGAAAAAGGGTGGCGACTCTTCAAGAGGCCTTGATTGAAGCAGAAGCCTATATACAGGCGACTGATCTGTGTACGATGAAACAGTCGGACGGGAAGAGGTTCGACAAAAGAGAGGGACGACAGAAATAGTCGTCCAACAAAGATGAAAAAAGAAAAGAGGTCTGGGCGGCTGATTCCTCTAAACAGCCGGCCTAGAAAAAGAAAAAAGAATTCAAACCATACTCCCCAAAGTATGTGTTTAACAAGGATAACCAGTTTATCCTAAAAGAAATAAAGGGACGGCTCTCAATTGAGAAGCCGCTCCCCATGAAGGGTTCCGCGAGCAACCGGAACCAAGACAAAATCTGTGCTTATCATGATGACATTGGTCATCACACCAATGACTGCATCAGTCTCATGCGGTACCTAGACCGCTTGGCTGATCAAGGTGATCTTGACACTTATGTCAAGAAATCTACGGGGATTACTTCCTCAAAAAAGCAGTCGGCCAAAAAGAATCAACAGGCCGACAGTTCCGATACAGATGATGCAGTCGTCTACACCATTGCAGGCGGCTTCTCAGGAGGCGGCCCCACTATTAGGGGCAACAAAGATAATATAAGGCGGTTAGATGTAAATTCCGTTCACCAAGAACAGCCGTCCAAATATACATTTCCTGAGATTGTCATCACTGAAGAGGATCTAGGAGGAATAAGGGGGCCGCATGACGACCCTCTCGTTATTGAATGTAAGGTGGCCAACCAGAGAGTTGGCCGAATTCTTATAGATACCGGGAGCTCCTCAGATCTCATCAGCAGCAAATGTCTGTCAAAACTGAAATATCAGACGGACTGCATACATCCGGCCTCCCACCCTTTAATAGGTTTTGGAGGAGGAGTCGTCCACCCACTAGGACGAGTGGATCTACCCATTTGCCTGGGCGAAAAAGGGGAAGGACGACACATGGTAGTCCGGTTCCTAGTGGTAGAGGAACTCTCGGCCTACAACATGATTCTGGGTCGACCAACCCTGAATAATTCCAAAGCTGTTATAATCCCGTCACTTATGCTGCTTAAGTTTGAAAGGGATAATGGAACAGTCGGCTCCCTAAGGGGAGATCAGAGGATGGCCCGAGAGTGCTATCTCTCGGATGTCAAGCCCACTGTTATGGCCACTGGGTCAAGTGGAGAAAAAACAGACCTTGACAATGTCAAGGAAAGTGCGCCTGTTCAAGAAACAGGCGACAGAAAAAGAAAGGCGTCCCAGACAGAGTCCGCAAGAAAGGCAAGAAAATAGCAATCATTGGCAGAGGACCGGCCGGATGAGTTCCGCCCTCAGCCGGCTGGTGAGCATACGGACCTGATATTAGACGACTCCCATCCTGATCGAACAGTCAAAGTAGGGACGATTGCTCTGAGAAACCTTGGTGACGACTTTCACAACCTGTTGAAAGAATACAAGGACATCTTTGCATTTGAAGTCCATGAAATGCCAGGCATTAGTCCTGATCTGGCAGTACACAAACTCGCTGTGGATCCGAAAAAGAAGCCGGTACGACAAAAGAAGCGGAGCCATGGTGAAGAAAGAGGTCAGGCGGCAGCCGCCGAAGTCAAAAAATTACTTGATGCAGGGTTCATTCGGCAATGTTACTTCCCAGATTGGGTTGCAAATGTGGTGCTTGTTAAAAAGCCGAATGGCACCTGGCGAATGTGTGTAGACTACACAGACTTGAACAAGGCGTGCCCCAAAGACAGTTACCCTCTGCCTAAAATTGATAACCTGGTCGACTCAACAGCCGGCCATGCCTTGATGAGTTTTATGGACGCCTATTCTGGTTTTCATCAAATTCCTTTATGGAAGAAAGATCAGGAGAAGACGGCCTTCGTCACTGATCAGGGATTATACTGTTACACGGTCATGCCGTTTGGTCTTAAAAATGCCCCGGCTACCTTCCAACGAATGATAAACACAGTGTTCTTTGATCAAATTGGGAGAAACGTCGAGGCATACATTGATGATATGATTGTCAAGACTAAACTTCAGGAAGATCATCTGACGGACCTCCGAGAAACTTTCGCCACACTCAGGCGGCACCATGTCATGCTCAATCCCAAGAAATGTGTATTTGGAGTTGAGTCTGGGAAATTTCTCGGATTCCTTATCAACCAGAGAGGAATAGAGGCGAACCCTGAGAAGGTACAGGCGGTCATTGACATGCAGTCGCCTCGTACCGTCCGAGAGGTTCAGAAGTTAACAGGTTGTCTGGCGGCCTTGGGAAGATTCCTAAGCCAATCAGGCGACAAATGCCTATACTTTTTCCAGGCAATTAAGAAAAAGGCAAGGTTTGAATGGGGGCCGGATGCTGAGGCCGCCTTCCAGAAATTAAAGGTTCACTTGCATTCCTTGCCGAGGCTGGTCAGCCCTTTGCCCAAAGAAAATCTCTACATGTACCTGGCCGTCTCTGATCATGCGTTAAGCGCGGTGCTCCTTGCTGAAAGGGACGGCTGTCAACTTCCGGTCTACTTTGTCAGTCACGTACTGAAAAATGCCGAGTTGAGGTATCCCCTAGTGGAGAAATTTGGTCTTGCACTCTTCATGGCTGTTAAAAAATTGAAGCCCTACTTTCTGGCACATGAAGTCGTCGTGTATACCGACCAACCGATCAAGCGGCCCCTTACCACCATGGAGTCCTCCGGACGAATGATCAAATGGGCCATAGAAATGCAGAGTCTCGAAGTTACTTTCGAGCCTAGAAAAGCAGTGAAGGGGCAAGCCTTTGCTGACTTTATTGTAGAGATGACTCGTCCTCCTGACTCTCAAGTTCCAGACCAAGTCTGGAAGGTATATGTGGACGGAAGCTCTACTGCAAACGGTTGTGGAGCAGGCGTCGTATGTCAATCTCCAGAGGGCGACAGGTTCGAGTATGCTTTACGCTTCAGTTTCCAGGCTTCAAACAATGAGGCAGAATATGAAGCTTTACTAGCCGGGATCCGCATGTGTAAGGCGGCAGGGGCAAGGAAAATAGACGCCTGTTCTGATTCACAACTGATAGTGAGTCAGTACAATGGCGAATACGAAGCAACACATCCGGCCATGATCAAGTATTTACAGGCGGTCCGACAAG